CAGGGTCACCTGGGTGGCTCAGTCAGTTAAGAGTCCGATTTCGGCTTAGTTCATGATCTCACAGTCCATGGGTTCGAGCCTCGCATCAGGCCCTGTGCTGACAGTCGGAGCCTGCTTCAGACTCTGTGTCTCCCTCTCTCTGCCCTCCCCTGCTCACCTCTCTCTCTCTCTCTCTCTCCCAAAAAGTAAATAAACATGTTAAAAAAAAAAAAGTCAAGAGGCAAAAATCCTTCTTAAGATAACCTCTGTTTTTCTTTTACTTCTTTCACTTCAGTTCACACTATTGGGAAAGTGGGTGCACATGTTCAAGAAAACCACCACGTGTGTACATTTCAAAAACTCTGGTACATCGTGTGACCGGAAAGGGTCTGGCAGCCGGCACTGCCCAGAGCTCGTAGGCTGCCCGGCGCCTCTGGCTTCCACCACCCGCCATTCACAAACCTCAACACCAGGCAATTTGTAGCTGTGGCTAAACTCAGTTTTCATGTCTACTTCATGGGCTTCCTGAAAGACCCCTCAGGCACCAGAAAGTACTTTCATACCTGCGGTATAAGCCACAGTCACCTCCACCCCTGTGGGGAATCCCTCACCCCTCCCTGCCCCCTCTCTCTTCCTCCTTCCCCTTCTCTTCTTTCCCCCTCTCCTTTCTTTGAGTCCTCTTCCAGAAAAATCCAAGGTCTGTCTCCATTTTGGCTTTTATTTTTTCTGAGCAGAAAGATGTGGATAAAATCTTCCTGGTCCCCTTTCTGCAGGGTGGAGAGGAAGCTGCCTTCTAAGAGTTTGATGAAAGGCTGTCCGAGGTCCTTCCTTTACTTAGGAGTACATTCAACAAGTCAGTACCCCAGTATGCAAACAAGTGCAAAGCAAAGAGGTGGGCTTCGGTGAGGGTCGAGGGTGAGCACTGCGTCACAAAACAGCCATGCGGGGCTGTCTGAGGACTGGGGGCTATTCAGTGGGACCCATGTCCAGGCTGCCTGGCTGCTTTTTGATGTAGTTCTACAGTAAAATCAATGGATGGGTTTATTGAGCACTTGACAACTAACTGGGGAGCAATTATGTACATTGTCAGACTTTGCCCCAGCCCTTTGCATCAGCACGAAGCACGGTCCCTCCATCCTTGGGTGTAGGTGAGCAACCAAAAGGAGGTTGGTGGGGACACACCCATGGGACGGAGGTGAGATAGCACTCACCCCCACCGACCATGACCCCCTTCTTGCAGGCCCAGGGCTGCGGGCAGAGCACAAGGCAGCTCAGGGAGGTGTGCCGGGCCCAGGAGCCAGGGCTGGTGAGGAGAGGAAGCGGAAATCTCAGACACTGCAGGTGTCTCATAATCCTAGGAGTTTGTCCCTTCCATGAAACCCTCCTGCGTCTCTGAGCCATCAGTGCGTTGAGCTCCAGGAGGAAACACCAGGCTCATGGGCTTGGAGAGGAAGAGGCCAAGGAGGGGCCCAAGGGGTCTTAGCTCCTGAAGCCCACAAGGCAGAGCCCACCCCACCCCCGTCTTGTTTCACAGACAGGAAGTGGCTGAGTTGTGCTTGAGGCAGTCTTGACCAGGAGCCTCTTGTCCCTGAGAGCACTCTCTGTGGTTGGACAGAAAGCCACAGGAGTGAGCGGAAGCCCCACCACGGACTTCCTGCAGCACATCAGAAAATACAGCCCAACTTGGGTGTAGACTTCTGGAAGCTGGGCTGAGACCATCAGTGGGCTGCCCTTAAATGGCCCCAGGAAGGCTGGACTGGGTTTGCATGATGTCCTGAAGCTGAATTGGCATCAGACTGGGGTGGGGGCAGGAGGATGTGGGTCAACTGGTACCTGCCTGAAGCCCAAGGTGGGATGAGGATCGGCCCCCCTCCCCCGGCTCCCCTCCCCCGGCCCCGGGCTTCAGGGAATGAAAGGAAACGCCACCTAGTGGTGAGGAGGAGGACAACAGGGCCCGGGTGGACCTCCAGCTCTGACTCGAGCACCACTCACATCGATTTATGCGCTTTTCGGTGTCTCGGGGCCTCAAACACATGACACACAACTGAAAACTGTGTCTCCAAGCGAGGTGGGAGGGGGCCCAATGGGGTCGTCAGTCCACCGTGGAGCCCATCCAGTTCCCGAGGTAACTGACAGACAGTTGGACCAGCCCACAGGGACTTACCAAAGGGGGTAGCTGAGCACTCAGTGGCCACCATCCATCCCACGGGAGGGGTATGGGGAGGGGGGTGCTTCATTGCAGGGAACCAGGAAGTCAGGGCATAACTGCCTTCCACTCCTGGAGAGAAGGTCAAGGTCCTATAAACCTGTCCATTTTGACATGACCCATAAAGGAAGAGCAAATACAAGACAAAATCATGTGTATGCAGCCAGCTGTGTTACAGCTTTCACAGAGAACTTCTAAGTACGCCGATTTCTACACAACCGCAAGATTTTGCTTCCATTTTGCAGATAAGAAGAGCAAGGCTCAGAGAGATTAAATGATTATTCAGACGTGTCAGAGGTATCAAGGGCAGATTTCGGACCCTGTGTCTGCTGCTGTTTGGGTTTTGGGTTTTTTAAACATCACCCCTGCTTCAAAGTTCCTCACAGGGAAGAGGCTAGTAACATGTTAGTGCTAACATGTTAGCACTTAATGCCAGATAAGGGAAAAGCAAGCAAGCAAACAAAAGCCTCAATGCTATTTGAACCTCCTTTTACAAAACCAAGGAACGTCCTGAGCAATGGCCATTACTCTCATCCTGGTATGATGATCCGGGGCCCTGAGGGGATCCAAAAGATTTAATGGCTTCCCAGAGCTCTAGCAGGTGCACATAAAGTTATGTAGTAGGAGGTGGTTGGGCCCACTGTTCTTATCCACATTGTGATAAAGACTGCAAGCCAGCGAACAGCCTTGGACTATTTCTCGCCTTACCCAAAGGAATAGCCTTTGAGGGCCCTATGAACAGGCCATGGAGATAGGAAAGAGGGGTGGGCGCTGGCCAGGGACTACCCACTTTCCTACAACCACACCGCAACCTGGAATAGTCTGAGGACCTCTACCGTAGCCTCCTGGACAAAGTCGGGTCACATGTGTCTTTTCTGACCTCTGTGCATCTCCGCTAAAATGCGTCTGTGGCTCACAATACAAATAAAGATGATTTCTAATTCAATTACCAACAATCTCTGGTTTGACATCGCTCTCGGTTTAAAGGAAGCCATTTCTGTTCCTTTTATTTCTTTATGTGTAAGTGAGGAAGGCAAAGTGGAAAAAAGAATTAAAGATCTTGGCTTCGTGTCAACATTTTTATCATGTGTTTTAATTTTTAAGGCACACAGAGTTTACGTGGATCATCTTAACATCTAAAAATACCAAGTTCGCACTAGTAACAAATGGTGGTCTACTCATTGACTGTGTTTAGGTGTAGCATTAGAAAACTAGCCTTGCAACGCCGACCCAAAACAGATGTGAAACATGAATGATCGGGAATGCTAGCCACAACCTCAAAAAACATACAGTTAACAAAGAAAGCAAGAGGCTGGGCAGACAGTCCCTGCATGAAGAAGCTGTAGCATCCAGTAACAGGGAAGACAAAGTGGCAACCATATTAACCACTTTGTTTCTCTTACTGGACATTACTCACTAAATCCCAGAAAGATTATTGTTAAGGCATCTTATTCCTTGCCAAATAAACTGCCCATAGAACAAATGTTTACTTAAAAAACATTGAGCATTCAGCAGCATCAACCAAATGCTACAGCCAACTGGACAAGGGGATTTCTGTAAAATGTATATAAATGTCAAAGGAACACAGCCTGGTCGCTAATGCTCAAACCCCAAGGGTTGTGATGAGTATCTATAGAGAACCTTCCGTGTTGTCTCCTATGTCTGCAGTTGGACCCAGCAGCCCAGCCCACACACACTGCAGATGAGAGCCTGGCTGCTGGGGAGGGTGGCAGGGAAGCCACAGATAAACCAGAACACTCTTTGAGCCAAAGGTTTCCACTTCCCCTCCAACTTGACCAGCTACCAGAACTGCCCAAGAGTGGTCACCACGAATACGGTCTTTTTGGATTTTCCCTGCCTGACCTCAATATGACACTGTAAAGGGCAGAGAAGCAGTGAGAACCAGGCCAGCCGCACACCCCATCACTGCTGAAGAAGCCCAGTGTTGGGTCTGAGACAGGGTGGCCCTTGGAAGGAATCGAAGGGTACTTGGTTCACATTTCATCACAGGGCAGGATTCTCCAAGGTGCAGCTATCTGCTGCACCTTCTGAGTTGGCGGGGGGCGGGGGGGGGGTCTCATGAGTTGGGTGGGGGAGTGAAAGAAGGCATCAGAAAGGAGGCTGGGACAAAAGACACATGACAAGCCCTCTCCTCTTCTGCCTGCCCTGGACCCAGAGGAAGCTGGCATCACCAAGATGGTAACAAGGCAGAGAGGGGACGTCCCCGGCTCCCGGTGCCCGCTGGTCCCTGTGGGTCCTTGCAGGTCTGTGGACTCCAATTGTCCACCTGTGGAACCTGATCACAAGCGTTCTCTAGCAGCCCTCCAGTGCCGAACCGTTTTGTCTGTCCTAGGTCCTCTACGGATGCCCATCAAGGCATTACTAACATGTCCCCTCACCAACTTCATATGAATGGACTCAGATGCCACACGAACGTCTGTGAGAGACTAAGAAATGGGAAGATGGTCGCCAACAAGTTTTTAGGTGGAGCGAAATTTTAGGTGACTTTTTACTTCCTTGGGCTGACTTTTTAAAAATTTTTTAAAATAGACATGTACCATCATGTGACTCCAAGAGCAATATTTTCATCCTGAAGAAACTTAAACTACTATTTTAGAGGAGAGAAACAAGCTGTATATGACTATGAAAGCTATCAGGGACAAATTTTTTCACAATTGAAGGAGGAATTGAACCTCAGTCTAATTTGCTTTGAAACTTGAAGCTGAAAAACACATGCCCTGACGTCACGGGTGACAGTGTCCGTGAATGCCGAAGAAGTAAATTAATGTCAGTTGGACAACTGGTATGTGTCACAATAGATACTGGTATTATTCAGATACACAAATGAGTTGACAAGTCACAAGGCCATGTACCCTTTGGGTTGAGTGGGTCTCACTATGACACGGTGTTATTAAGATATGGGCATAATGGCCCTTGAGAGGAAAACAAAGGACCACTCACAAAGAACACCTTCCCGTCACAGCCTAGCTCATACCACTGAGAAATAAGACAGAAAGCACTCTGGCTTCACTTCATTCTTTTTGCAACATCTGAATATGCGTGTTCAATCTCCTGGTCGGCTGGACACGTATTCGTGAACTCGTCCCTAGCATAAGCATTGTTCAAGTATCTCCAGATGCCAGTCATTTCAGAAGGAAATTCAAAATCTCTGTATCTCTTGGCCACGATCTGAAAATCAAGAGGAAATAATCAGCAAAGGAAAAATCCACTAATGTAGGCAATTAGATCAGACAAGCCATTCTTCTGAGGTGTGTAATATATTCTCTTTCTTAAGTCCTGATGCATCCCTCCTAAAGCCAGTCAGATTACCCCAAATTGCACTTCAACTTTGCATGGGGCATACCGTGCATGGGAAAGGTCATGAAAGTACTGGGCTCCACACAACCCTGCCCACCAATTTATCCCAGATGAATTGGGATCCATTGGCATGAATTCAGTCTCTACTCTGGCAGGCTTCTCCTTGTGTTGCTAGCAGTTTTGACTTTGTGTGTTCTGCTGCTGTGTTATTTGGTGCCTAAAGATTCATGAAGATCTTCTGTTTAGATTGTGCCAGGATCACCATGAAATGCTCTTTTTCCTACTTGCTGAGCCTCATCTCCTGAAATCCCAGATATCTGTGTATATTATTCCTGCAAATTTCCATCTTTCTGTCACTGAAGAGATGATCTCATTGTCAACAAATGGACACAAATCCTTGTCCTCATGGACATGGTAGATGTGAGGACAGGGCAACTGAGTGTGAGCATCATGGGAAACACAACAGTGTGAGATGCTTCCTTTGGCTGGAGGGATGCCACTGGGGGATTCATCAAAAAGGAGGGTATATACTGCTGGGGACTCGTCAGTTTCCTGGGGCCACTGTGACAAAGTACTACAATCTAGGTGGCTTAGAACAACAGAAACTTATTCTCTCACACTTCTGGAGGCCAGAACTCCAAAATCAAGGTGTCAGCAGGGCACGTTCCCTCTGGGAGTTTTAGGGAAAGCTGTCTTCTCGCTCCAGCTTCTCGTAGTTCTTGGCTTGCAGCAGTAGAACCGTAATTCTCACATGACAGTCTCCCTCTGTGTGTCTCTGTGTCCAAATTACCCTTTGTTTATAAGCACACCAGTTCCCCTTGGATAGGAGACCCATCCTACTCTACTATGACCTCATCTTACCTAATCACATCTCTGAAGATCCCATTTCCAAATAAGGTTATGTTCTGAGGTACTGGGGATTTGGACTTCAACATAAGAATGGGGGTAGGAGGTTGCGGGGGGTGGGGGGGCGGTGAACCCAGAGCCACAAAGGCCAGTTCTGCTGTGTTGCCTTCTATTGCATTGGTTTCTTGGATGTGTGGATGAACTGAAGATGGGACTTAACACAAATTGGAAGATCTTTGGGACCTGATTTTGCAGATTTTGCGCTAGAAGCCATTGATGCAGCAAAACAAGACCGTATAATGGTCAGAAACCCTCCTAAATTGTTTAATATCTTTTGCTTCAATTCAACCTTAGGGATATTAATGTTAAGAATTCCTTTTATGTATTATTTCATTTATTATTCCTGGTTTATCTTTACCAATTTTCTTTTAACTTTTTTTTTTTTTTATTTCTAGGAGAGAGAGAGAGAGACAGCGTGAGCAGGGGAGGGTCAGAGATAGAGGGAGTCACAGACTGAAACAGGCTCCAGGCTCTGAGCTGGCAGTCAGCACAGAGCCCGACGCGGGGCTCGAACCCACGAACCGCGAGATCATGACCTAAGCGAAAGTCGGACGCTTAACCGACTAAGCCACCCAGGCGCCCCTCTTTTAACTTTTTTAATGTTTACTTATTTTTGAGAGAGACAGAGTATGAGTGGGGGAGGGGCAGAAAGGAGGGGGACACATAATCGGAAGCAGGATCCAGGCTCTGAGCTGTCAGCACAGAGCCCAATGTGGGGCTCGAACCCACAAACCATGAGATCATGACCTGACCTGAAGTCAGATGCTTATCCAACTGAGCCACTTGGGTGCCCCTGCAGGTTTTTAAAATTTTAACATTTTTAATGTTTATTTATTACTTTGAGAAGGGGAGTGCATGCATGCACACACATGCAGGGGAGGGGCAGAGAGAGGAAGAGAGAGAATCCCAAGCAGGCTTTGCACTGTCAGCACAGAGCCTGATGTGCGGCTCCATATCATGAACCATGAGTTCATGACCTGAGCGAAAGTCCAGAGTCAGAAGCTTAATCGACTGAGCCACCCAGGCCCCCCTATATTTAACGTTTCAGAGCAAGTTTTAAAGTGTCTGCCTCCAATAGAAGGGATACATTGTCTGAATTTAATACTTTGTTTTCTGTCTCTCTGTGTTTATTTATCTGTGCATGTTTCTTTTTCTGGTAACTTAGAAACTATGGTCTGTTTTAACTCTTCCTGTGGTTTCCTATACAACATATATATATATATATTTATACAACATATATATATTATACAACATATATATATATATATATTTTTTTTTTTTTTAATGAGTTTGAGCCTGGCATCAGTCTCTGTGCTGACAGCCCAGAGCCTGGATTCTGCTTTGGATTCTGTGTCTCCCTCTCTCTGCCCCTCCCCGATTTGCACTCTGTCTCTCTCTCGGTATAGGTTTTAAATAACCAAGATTCTCTATTTCTTGATTTGTCAAGTTTAGATGATATCTATTTACTCTTGATTATAACAAATGAGGAAATCAGTACAACTACGGTTTTTCCCATTTCTTCTCCCTTATTCCCCTTCCATTAGTTGTAAAAACATTCAAGTTTAGGGGTGCCTGGGTGGTTCAGTCAGTTAAGTGTCCGACTTCGGCTCAGGTCATGATCTCACAGCTCATGGGTTCGAGCCCCGTGTCGGGCTCTGTGCTGACAGCCAAGAGCCTGGAGCCTGCTTCAGATTCTGTGTGTGTGTGTCTCTCTCTCTCTGACCTTCCCCTGCTCATGCTGTCTCTCTCTCTCTCAGAAATAAATAAAACATTAAAATTTTTTTTAATATCCAAGTTTACTATGTTCTGATTCTGTTCTGTGACTATTATAACATTCTTTGGCCTTAGTTCTGTCTTTAGATTTAAATAAGTTCTGTGTTTATCACAAACTCTTTTCTACCACCCACCTTCTCTGTTCTGGGATTCTTATTTTCAGTGTTATTTTATTATTATATTCATCATAGAGAAACTTTATTTTTTTAATGTTTGCTTATTTTTGAGACAAAGTGAGAGAGAGAAAGACAGAGTAAGAACAGGGGAGGGAGAGAGAGAGAGGGAGACACAGAATCTGAAAATCTCTGAGCTGTCAGCACAGAGCCCGACGTGGGGCTTGAATTCGGGAATGGCAAGACCATGACCTAAACTGAAGTCAGACACTCAACTGACGGAGTCACTCAGGCTCCCCGAGAAACTTTGTTTTTTTAAAAAAAAAATGGCCCAGGAGTACTAATTTTGTGAAGATCAGAAGTCCAGGGAAAAACAATTTACCTGGATATGAAATTCTTGGATCATGCAGTCTTTCCTTTAAGTCTCTGTAGCCATTAAACCACTGTTTTCTGGGTTTTAATGTGGTCATTGAGACATAGAAGGCAAGTTGGAATTTCTTACCCCTCGAGACTCCTTTACTATAGATTGCTAATCTTACTGCTATTATTATTCTTATTGTCTGGACACCCAGAGTGTTCTATTTGATCCCCAAAGTTCAGTAATTTATCGGGTATGTTATCGTGTGTTGATTATTCTAGACTAGATTTTCCCAATCATGGCAGGTGGTTTAAACTGAAGGTTCAGGTCATCTCTCTCTCTCTTTTTTTTAATATTTTATTTATTTCTGAGAGAGAGAGAGAGAGAGCAGGGGAGGGTCAGAGAGGGAGATACAGAATCTGAAACAGGCTTCAGGCTCTGAGATGGCAGTCAGGACAGAACCCAACGCAGGGCTCGAACCCACAAACCATGAGATCATGACCTGAGCCGAAGTCAGAGACTTAACCGACTGAGCCACCCAGGCGCCCCTCAGATCATCTTTTAGTTCACAATAAATTTTCGCTCCTTCTTTACTTTTTCCTTTCCTGTTCTCTGGCCCCTGATTATGTACATCTGGGAAACCGCTAAACATTTTTACCCCTGTGCTTCTCCATTCAATTTGGGAAGATGTCATAGGGCCTACCCTCTGGAACCCTGATGAAATTCTGCAATGTCTTGTTCTTGTTTTGCTACATGTAATGCACCTTATTTCTGAAGTTCTTTTATTTGTCTTTAGGGGTTTTTTTCATTATTTTCATGTCCTCTGTGATATATATATATATATATATATATATATTGATATCTCATTCCTGTCTCTGAGCTTTTTCTCAAAAGATCCATGTGCTTTTTCATGTTGGAGGCCACAGAGAAGTATCTGACAGGAATGTATTTTCATCCACTGGAGCAATTCTTCATCAGGTATGTGTTTCTCATCTGCCTTTTCCTTTTTTGTCCCTTCTCTTTTTCTTTTTTGACCCTCTCCTTGATCATCTCTATTCACATAGAGGTCCCACTTGGATTCTTTCTGATTACTAATCATCTTTTAATGAGGCAGATCTACTGGAGTTATCACTTCTTTTTTATGTTTCTTTATTTTTGAGGGAGAGAGAGAGACAGAATGCAAGCAGGGGAGGGTCAGAGAGAGAGGGAGACACAGAAACCAAAGCAGGCTCCAGGCTCCGAGCTGTCAGCACAGAGCTCGACCCGGGGCTCGAATCCATGGACAGAGAGATCATGACCTGCGCCAAAGTTGGGACGCCCAACTGACTGAGCCACCCAGGTGCCCCTGGAGTTATCACTTCTTAAAAATACTGCAGAGGCAAAGAGAGTGAGACAGGGTAGCTGTAGACCAATTTGGATGTTTACCCTCCAATACTCTCTCACCATACACTGCTCTATACTCAACTCCACAGTCACATTAGGGTTAGGGTCAAGGTCAGAGTCAAGTTTAGGGCTAGGGCATCCTCCATTCTGAGGCTCACAGATTAGGCAGGAAGTCACCATGCCTAAAAATAAAGCTTGGTCAATTTACAGTCTCTCTCTTGACCAGTTCCAAGACTGTTTCTTTTTTCTGCTCAGCAGCCAAAAGCACATCCCTTCTCTCCACCTCCCCTCCCTGTTCCTTCAGATTAGGGGCTGGCTCACAGAATACAAAGATGACGCCTCTATATGATTTGTCCTTCAACTCTGCCTCCGCAGAGACCTCAGATGGAAAGTGATCTGTGTGGGGCTGTTTCCTGCTTCTCTTCTCATGGCCCTGGTCCTCAAAGTAGTCTGGGCTGGACATTTCAAGAATGCACTCTTTACTTTTAGAGAAATCTGAACTTTGCTAAAGATATAGAGAAGCATGCCTTGGCTCTGTGACTCCTCGCACTGGACAAAGTTTCTTAGTCTTTGAACTGGTATTCCGTCCTATTCCAGTTTTATGAAAGATGAGGTTTTGCTCTGTTTTTTTCATATTGTTTCTGTTGGGATTCAGGAAGGAGAATAGATTATAAATTCCTTTACTCTCATCTTTTATCATGAATTCTTTTAGACTAAGTCTCATTTCCTTTCAGAAGGTATTCAATCCTGAAAGATGATTTAGCTGTTTGGTACTTCGAATGTTCAATGGTTTTGAAGATATTGCTCTCAGGTCAAATACTGGAGCCAAGGACTGCTTTACTTGACTCACAAGTTTACCCCTTCTACTGAAATTTAAAATACTCTTTTCTCATGGGAGCTGAACAAGTGGCAATTGGTGCTATATGGTTGGAGCATTTCTCTTGCTTTCCCCAACCTTCATGTACCACTGGCATGCTACATGGGTCATAGCAATGACTACAACATGGTCAGTAAAGGAACTAAAACCAAAACACAACTATGTAAATATCTTGTTGGAAAATGGCTCTCAAATATCGGAGGTTTTGACGAGTTAAGATGTTTTCATTACATTTTGGATGCTGGGGACCTGGCAGAGTTATTGAAAAGAACATTCACTTGAGGCTCAGCCACATCGTCAAGGGTTGGATTTCAAGTCAGTATCCCTCAAGCACAAAGAAGAGAGAAGAAGGAAGAAGAATGGGGCAAGAGTCGGGAAAGGAATCAGCAAGAAAGAAGAAATGCAGGAAGGAAAAGGAAGGCAACCAAGGGCAGCTGGTAGCCTATAGGAGCATCAGCACCACAGATTATGTGATTCTAACGTGCAAGTTTCTAAATACCAATTACATGTCTTATTAAATCACAAGGTCCTTGACTTGTGGGATTTTTATCATCAAGGTGCCTGAGAACAAGGGTTGGGCTTCTTCCTGGGGCGTCTGAGGCTACGGAGGGCCAAGAACATCGCAGTGGTGATAATGATAATAACAATTAACATGACATGAAGGCGGGGGCACTACTTAGAGGCCGCCATATATGACTCCGAGTCCAAGTGTAGGGCCATCTACTTTGGAATCCCGGGGTCAGCCCCAGAAGTTCTGATTTAGTAGACCAGAGGCTGGATTGGGGGATTTACAATTCTAAAAAGCTCCCCAAATAATTCTTATGCCTACTCATGTTGGAGAACCACTGGTCTAGGGAGACTTTAAGCCCTAAAATATATGACCCATGATGCTGATTTCCTGTTCAACTATCTGGGAAGACAGGATGCCAAATCTGGCGGTGGCCCAGCCAAGGAGCTGCTCCCTAGCAGTTGGGGGTCAAGATTAAGAGCTGAGAAGACACATCTCTGTCGTCGGCAGACAGAACTGTTTCCCCTGCCAATCACCGGCACCTGACTGAGCTCACACTGCAGTGCTCCCAGATTCCGCGCGTCGTCTCCAAACCTCGGGCATTAAATGCCAGGTGTAGTCAATGCTGCCCTCAGGTTGCTTTCACATAACTTTTCTTTGTGCTGTGCAGGTAAGACTTGAAATGAGAAGCAGAGAGGAGGGAGGGGTGGGAGCCAAGTTCCCGGATGTTTCCTGAGACCACCTAAAGAACACCTGAGAATATCCATGTATCTGAGGTTTGGGATTGGACCGCCTCAAACAGAAATCAACTGACTTTTTAATTCAAGAGTCTCCATTTTAGATTGTTTCAATGTCTGGCCGAAATAAAACAAGGCTCCATGAGTGTATTCAGCAGCTATGACAGGAGGAACATCAAACCTTTATAATGTGGAGCTTGGGCAAGAGGTTACAGTCAGCTAATGTGAGCTCATCCCCATCCAAGAACTTCCTTCCAGAAACAACGACGTCTTCGGTGCTGTAGGCATCTATTTCATCAGGCAGAGGGCTATTTAAGTAATCATCCAGCTTCTTCAGAGCCTTTAACAGGTTCTTTTCATAAACTAAAACAGAAAGGCAAAAAAATGACCCAGAGAAGCCCTATGAGTTCGTATCACTTCTCTAAACGTGAAACAAGGAGTTGATCTCCTTTCCCTCCTGACACCCGGCTGGGCCGCACTGGGGAATTGGGAGGGAAGGATGCGGATTTCTAAGATCTGAAGAAAAGACTCACTCCTCCCCGGAAAATAATCCTGCTGTCTACACAACAGTGCTCCTTCTAGAACTCATCTACTTATTCAAAAATATTTATGGGAAGCCCATAATGAGGTAAGCATGGCCAGAAGCTTCATTAAAATGGACTCCCATGGTCCAGCAGGGGAATTCCTGGTGGTGATTCTTTTCCCCTAAAATCGTTGTTTTCTGGGCTGCCAACCTCCAGAAGAAGCATTTGATCTCTTGAAACCCATGGGCAGATTCTGCATTGGAGGTACTTTTTCCTTATTTCTAGACACAGGTCCCTACCCGCAGGGAAATGAGTCAGAAATCCCAGGATCTGAGAAGAGGCCACACCAGAGGCCGAGGGGCACCCCATGTGGAAAGCATTAAAACAGGAAGACAGACGGTACTCACTCTCATTTGCATCCTTCTTGGTGTTTTTGATAAATGCCGAGAATTTGGCAAACACATCATTTCCTGCAGAGTTAGATTCAGGGTGTTGGGGCCCCAGCTTAGGGTACCTTGAAAAATTCAAATTTGGAGTATCACAGACAATGGTGGGGGGCAGCAATATGTCTTTCTCTGAGTGGATATAAAAGTGGAACCTCTCCCCCTTGGATGTTTTTCTGGGAAGAAAGCACACGCTGCTCTCCTCCCGGCACACAGCTGCCTGCACCGCCACCAACTTTGCTGGTCGTAGTTCCCTCCCTAGTAAAACGGAGGCGGTGTGCTAGAAGACTCCCTTCGAGATCTGGCAGCCCGCGACATCACAGCCGAACGTGCGCTCCTTACCCGCCAGCAGCGGACCTACGACATGGCCAACCCACGCGACATCGACCCGCCTCCTCCCCACTTCCTGCTGTCAAACCGTAATTGCCACGCTGCAGGTGCAAAGCACAGAGACCCAGGCCCCCATCACTCCAGGCTTCGGCCCTGGCTGTGTGTTCTGCGGCACCGGCACAGCTAAGGAAGTGCGTGCCACGGCCACAGAAAACCAATTGCACGAAGCCACGACTTCCAGGGCCGTCTGTGAAGGGGCAAAGTGACAATCAAGTTGTGAACACCGGTTTCAGGAGGCCTACCTCGGGGGAGCTAACTTCTCCTCTAAGAACTCCTCGATCTTATTCACGTCCGTCTTGACTTCACCATCAAAAGTCATAAAGGGAGGGTTGGTCCCGGGAGCCAGGTTCTGCAGGTCGGCGGGTTTCCTGGGTGGGGGGAGGGAGCAGCGGCTTTGGTGAAGAGCCACCAAGGTTTGCACTGATTCCCAAAGCCTCGCCGTGTCCTCCCCGGGTTCCGAGGAGCAACCCTAGAGAAGTTCAAAGGGGACTGTGGATTCGCAAGATGTCCTACTTCCAGTGAAAGTGTGGCTTGTCCGGGTGCGGAGGGGAGAAAGCCAGCTCTCCCCAGGGTATCCCAGGAGAGCTGCTCACACGGGCTTTGGGGAGGTGCTCGGCTGACTTGGGGAGCAGGTTCCCTAAGGTGCCCCCAGCTCCTCCCTGGTTTCATCTGCCCAGATCCTCTACTTACTGATGAGCCCACACTCGGGCTTCCGTTCAGGGTCCCAACCGAGGATGGATGTGCCGTGACGTCGCCCATGGGTTCTAAGAACGTATGAGTGTGTAGGTGTGTGGGCGTGCCTGAGTTTTGAATGTGTGAGTGTGAGAGTGAGTGTGTGGCGTGTGTGGGTATTATGGGGGTGTGGGTGTGGGTGCGTGGGTGTGAATACGTGTGCCGGGAAGCAGGTCCAGTTGTTTCAATACCGCGGGAACCTTCTCTTACCTCTTCAGGTCCACTGTGGTCACGTTAAATATAACGCCCTTTAGCCAGAGAATCATAAAGAGGCGCTGGGAAAACGGGCAATTCCCAATGCTCTCACCATCATAACCAGCCTAAGTGGGAAAAGAAACCTTTATCAGAGTCAGGCTCACAACTGTAAGCGCCAGGCTCACGGGCACAAAACCGTTACAAGTTCATGTTAATGGTCACGACACCATGACTACCCTTATGGGGCCATTTCACTCTGAGCCACTGACCCAGCCTCTCGGTGAGGCAGGGGGGAGGGGGGGGAGCACACGAACAGGCTTCTCTGAGCATTTCCCTCTTCCTTCCCGCCGCTCGCCACTTTCTGCCGCACTGGTGTTGAACAGCACGGCTCACACAGGGAAGGACAGGCAGGTGGGAACTCCCTGTGTCACCAAAGGCACAAAGGAAAGACGCGCTCTTTCCCTCCCTGCGTCTCGCAGTCCTCTCCAGAAGCAGCTCGCCTCTTTCCAGGATGATCAAGCCTAGAAACACACCAGCGGACTCTCCCACGCAGACGCCCTCCCTCCTGGATGCTGTAAAACCTTTATGTCCCCTCCTCCGGCTCAGGGAGTGGCAGAAACACGGGCAGCGTTTGCATCGGGAAGGTGTGCAAGGTGGCGTGGCTCCTCCCTGGTGGCCGAGAGCCAGTCACAGCCACACACGCCTGAACACAGGCAGACACGAACTGCACACACGTCCTGCTCCTCCTCGCGGGCTCCTGGCCGAGAAGAAAGCACGTAGGGGGGAGAAGAGAGAGGAGACAGCGGGCCACTCAACCCCCAGGAAATTCAGGGGCAGAAGCAAGGCCAACAGCAGAAGGCCCTAAACCCTCTGTCTCCGGCCGTCCTTCCCCACCAGGCCACGGGTCTCTGACACGCTCGTGGCACTAATCAAATCGCGCTGGAAAGGCAAGAAGGTGGCTTCGCCGTGCTCTTCACACGTCCAGACCGCAAGCACCGCACCCACACGGTCAATCCGTGAAGTCCGTTCCTGCCGCGCGGTTAAGAGAACGGGGAGGGAAAGCACCGTGTCCCTAACCTGCGTCACAGAAGGAGTCGAGGCAGGAAGTGAGCTGCCGGCGTGGGAACGGAAGAAAGGGAAAGAGAGATGCAAGGAGACTGGACCTTCGGAGCGATGGCGTGCTTCAGTCACCTGGGGGGGTTGCTAACAAGCAGCTGTCCCTAGAAATGAAGAGGATAAGAGACCCCCCAATTTTAATAAAAGATCCGCCTCGTTACAAAAGATGAAAATCCAAATGGGCCAATAAGCACATGAAAATGTTCCCAACAGTTTTAGGCAGCAGAGCAATGCAAAGTAAAGCCACAGCGGGACGGAGCTGCACCCCTCCCAGAACGGCCCAAAATGAAAAGCCCTGCTGCTACCACGTGTGGACAACAGTGCAGAGCCACTGAACCGCCATTCAGTGCTGCTCAGAGTACAAACGGCACAACTCCCGAGAAGTGTTGGGCGCTCATCTCCCACCTTCAAGTAAGTGTAAACGCGAGGACACAGCCATTCTACTCCCAACAAGAAGGGAGCACTGATGGGCATGAGAGACGTTCATAGGAATGTTCTTAGTAGCTTTGGTAGAACAGCCAAAACGTGGAAACAAGCCAGATGCCATCAAATGTAGAATAAATAGGGGAACGTGGGCGGCTCAGTCGGTTAAGCGTCTGAGTGGCTCAGGTCATGATCTCGAAGTCCATGAGTTCACGCCCCACGTTGGGCTCTGTGCTGACGGCTCGGAGCCTGGAGCCTGTTTCAGATCCTGTGTCTCCCTCTCTCTCTGCCCCTCCCCCACTCACACTCTCTCTCTCTCTCTCAAAAATGAACATTAAAAAATGAACAAAGGAATGAATTGAGACAGAAATACTAAAAAAGGACAGAAAAATAAGACAAAAATACTAAAAAATATATATATATATATATATATATATGCTACAACTTATGTATTCATTGTAGAAAAGCTGTAGTATATTCATACAATAGGACACTACATCACAATGGGGAAAAATTAGCTCTTACTATAAGCAACAGTATGGATGAATCCCATATACATTGTGCTGAGAGAAAGGAAGCCGACTCAAAGGATTTCAGACACAGGCAAGCTTCTCTAGATGATGGGAGTCGGAAGAGGGGCTGCCCCCGGAGCGGGACAATTATCTGGGAAGGACAGGAGGGAGACTTCTCTGTGCTAGAAATGTCCTGCATCTTGACGCCCGGTGGTGGCTACATGGGTATATTCAAGTGGCAGAGTCTTTTGTTTTTAATATACGTCCAAGTTAGTTAGCATATCGTGCAATAATGATTTCAGGAGTAGAATCCAGTGATTCATCCCTTACGTATAACACTCAGTGCTCATCCCAACAAGAGTCCTCCTTAATGCCCCTCGCCCATTTAGCCCATCCCCCCACCCACAACCCCTCCAGCAGCCCTCAGTACTCTGTATTTAAGAGTCTCTCATATTTTGTCCCCCTCCCTGTTTTATATTATTTTTCTTCCCTTCCTTCTGTTCATCTGTTTTGTATCTTAAATTGCACCTATGAGTGAAGTCATATGATATTTGTCTTTCTCTGACTGACTAATTTCACTTAGCATAATATCCTCTAGTTTCATCCACGTTGTTGCAAGTGGCAAGATTCCATTCTTTTTGATTTCAAGTGGCGGAGTGTTAAGATTGGGTTACTTTACTGCATGCATTACTTTAATAGTTTTTTTTTAAGAAAAATATTAATAAAACAAAATTGCAGAGAGTTGGATTCAGTAAGTCTTGCCTGGGGCCCAGGAAAATATGAATTTCTAACAAGCTTTTCCAAGATGATGTCATGCTGGTGGCCAGGGAACCATGAAGGTGGACGTCCTGCCCGTAAAGAGGCACCAACGGACTCAGAGCACTGAATTCAGAGTCCCCAAAGCTCCAGGCACTCGCTTCACACCCATCCACCCCCTGCAACTCCCCCCTCCCCCTCCCCCTCTGGCATGTGCTGGCCTGTCCACCTATGAGGGAGAAGGGGCTAGGGACTCCCCCCGCTGGAGCCAGAAGCTTCGGGAGCTGGAGGGCTGGGGAGGTGGCCAGTCAGGACTCCCCACCATCGGGTGGTCATCACAACTCCCCAGCAGGTGGGCCCTGAAACAGCACCCTGCTGGATGGCTTTCCCTGCCGCAGGGTCCCACCCCTTCATGACCATTTTGAAGGCCGATCCAGCCCCTCCTCACTCTGTTCTGGAAAAAGAAGAGCGAGCAGAGCTGAGTTACACAAAATTCCCAGCGGCTCGCGGCAAGGACCCCTGTTAAATCATGGCACTTTCTTCTCCACTGCAGGTTTGGGCAGAATCAAGCCAACGGGGGGTGGGGCGTGGGGCGGGGACAAGAAATCACAAGGACACAAAGCCACATATTTCGGCCAGTCCTGACTTGCTCGCAGCTTCCAAACCTCTTATTTTTATAGTGGTTACACTAAGCACAGTAAAGTCTAAGATAAGTTCTGCGGAGTGGGGTAATTGTCTTCCTTCTCCCTCTCCCTTGTCTCTCTAGCCTCGGGGATCCTGTTAGGACTCATCCTGAATGCGGCCAAATCCCTGCTGAGCCCGTGTGTCTCTGCCTTCACTGGTGCGTGGACAGCTCACCCTGACAAAGAACTCCAAGCCTGGGAACAGGCTTTCTGTTCTGGGAAACGGCGCTTTCTGCCGAGGCATCTGGAGAATTACATCGCCTGGGTCTCTGCCTCGCTCCATCTCTCTGATACTCCCCAGCTCAGGTCAGCATTTCCCCCCCAAAACTGTCCTTCCGGCCACCTCCTGAATCCTGGCGGCTACTTCTTCAGGAAGAGTAAAGGGATCAGAAGCAATAATTCACCTGGGGCGCCAGGGTGGCTCAGCTGGTTAAGCGTTTGACTTCAGCTCAGGTCATGATCTCACGGTTTGTGGGTTCGAGCCCAGTGTCAGGCTCTGTGCTAACAGCTCAGAGCCTAGAACCTAGAGCCGGCTTTGGATTCTGGGTCTCCCTCTCTCTCTGCTCCTCCCCTGCTCATGCTCTGCCTCTCTCTCCCTCAAAAATAAAATAAAAACATTAAAAGAGAAAATTTTTAATTAAAAACTAGAAGGAAAACCTGCCTTTGTTGCTTGGTTCTACACACGCGGAAACCTGGTAACAGGCTCCTTTCTGAAACTGCTAAAACCTGAGAGAGACGTATGATCGGGGGAGGGGAGGTGGGGGCAGGGGGTGGGGCAGGGGCCCAGAGCTTCAAAGGCAGTGAGGAAAGCACAAGTGTACCCTGCCCCTCCCCTCGCATGGCCTCCAAACAGGACTGTCACAAGCCAGCACCGCTAGTGAATTGGAGGCTGTCAGTCGTTTTAGAGAATCAGCCAGTTTTGGAGAATCAGCCGGTTTTGGAGAATCAGCCAGTTTTGGAGAATCAGCCAGTTTTGGAGAATCAGCCAGTTTTAGAGAACCAGCCAGCTGCCAATCCAGGACTTACACAGGCAGGTTGGCCTCATCTTCAATGGCCCTGAAAACACTTCCCTTCCTCAGTCTGTTGTACATGTGGGGGGTCACGGGAATGAGGTGGGAGTTCCCAGGATGCCTTGCTGCCTGCCTTGATGACTTTAACGTGCTTCAGCTCTGGGACACGCCAGCAAAACTCCAGGCGGAAATAGGCCATCTCCACGGCCCCGGATTGAGCAACACTGGGAGGGTCTCGTCTTGGTCATGTTCATTAACCAAACAAGATGATGGGATAAATACCCACATGGCAGGAGTGAATAACTGACGGTCACCGTAATTGGGACATGTTACGGTATAAAGTTTTACTTTCCGTTGCTGCTAATTCTCTCGGGCTAATTACACTCTGGGCCAACTGTCTCAGCCCCCAGGGGGAGATTTTTGAACGGAGACACTTCTGATAAAATCAGATTAAGCAGTTTGAGAGATCGGAGTGTCTTGTTTCCAGCGAAGACCCAGGCACTTGGATAACCCGAGATGGCACATGTGTCTTTCAAACGCGACTTTCCTGAGCGCCTGTGACGGGAATTCTCGAAAGGAAGACATTAGTGGCCGCTGACAGGTGCCGACAAGTTCCTGCAGCCTT